TATATACATGTACTAATTAATGTCATGAATAGGCAGTTTTCCCCTACTGGGGAAGACTTCCTTTACTCATATCATTAATAGTAAATGCAAATTAAATTGATAAAAACTGTGTGCTATAACACAGGGCTTTTTAATGTTAGGCCCACGGTCTGTACCAGTGGTAGCCCATGGTTGTGTTACATGCAACAAGAATAACATGTGGAACTATGCTTTTATTTCATTAGCATTTTTCATCATAACATAATAGACTGTGCTCAAAACCCATTAACCAACACAAAATTTTAAATAGCCATAATTTGAACACGAAGAAAACCTGTTTTAAGTGCAGCTCAGTCATACAATTCCCCCCTTTTCATAATGGGATGGCATTCATAAAGAAAAGTCAGTAAGTATCCAAGTCAAAGTATATTTAACTTAACAACTTTAGCTGTTGTTATGATTCAGTGCTAAAATGAACTGAAAACTGAATTGAAAAATAGCTTAACAGAGGTAAAGTAAAAATAAACACAAGATTTATAAAGCAAATGTAATCGCGGCTCCATGAGAAAAGTCATGTGTGACCATTGCTTTCTTTATGCAACAGGCCATGTGAGGTTCACTGCACTCAAAAGGATTAAGAAGCAGAACTCCCTGGAATTTCTCTGTTTAAATTATTTCACATCAGTTTCAGTAAATAAGTGTACCTACTTGTGCAGATGCAGACTCACAGGCCGTTTGATTGTGGTTCATCACAGTCATGGCTTGCCATGTGTACTAAATGAGATCTGTTGCCACTGAATGGCGTGATAGCTCACGCAAACCAATAAAGAAGTGTAAATTGCATCACAGACAAGATACGATCAATCAAACACTAACAAGAAAAACATGTTTTAATGGTTAAGCAAACAAAATTAGAGACGTGGGGGAAAAACAGAGGTGAACACAAACAAATCAGTTTGAGTTAGAAAAGTCTAAAGTAAAACATCCTTAAAAAGTAAGTAAATTAAATGTATTTAATTAATTTGTTAAACATAGTGTGCAAATTAGGAAAACTTATGGGAGTCTTTTGCAAGTAAATCCTAACATGGCATCATCCATATAATGGAGTATAAAGATAAATGTTATAAGGAGTGGAGCTCTAGAAGGACTTTAAATCCCTCGGTGGTGGTAGTGGGGGTGTTGGTAAAGAATGCAGAGCGATAGCTGCAGATGGATTTGATGTGGTGCAGAACTTCTCATGAGTCATAGTTGAAGCATCCTGCTTCTGATAACAATTCAGGGAAAGAGGTGGAGACGTGGATTTGGTTTGCAGCGATCAGAGAGCAACAGAGAAAGAAACGGTTTTGAAGTTTGACACCAATGAAATGAATGGCTCGAAGAGGCTGTAGCAAAATGTGTTTGGTTTATCTGTAAGCATGAACAACCTGGGTCAGCTGATTGAGTTGGAAGCACAGAAAGTCAAATAAAGGAAAAGAGAAGTTTGCTAAAGAGAGTCACAATAAAGACAATGTTTTAGAATAATTACTTCATTGGGCAACAAACAGCACGAATAAGGGAGACGCTGAGTGAGTAGGTTTGTGCAGGTCATATTTTGAATCTAAAAGAAGGTCATTTATCTACGGAGCCCCGCAAGGGACGTGGGAGAAAAAAAATAATAAGATGAACTTTTGCGAGATCTCGCAAAACAAACTCGAGATCTCACAAAACTTTTGCGAGACTTATCACGAGTACACGAGAACGCAAGTACGTACGATTTCTCCTCCATATTCATATCGGTCTTTTAAATGAGCCCACACTCTGTACAAATGCACACAAACATGAAACAAAGAGAGCAGAAAAGAAACGATCATGTAACCCTTGCTGTGACTCAGACATGAAACCTAACAAATATGAAATTTCTATAAATCAATTAAAATTATACTCACTGTTTTACAGATGAAAAACTGTCTGGGGTTCATTTTAAGTTCAGTTTAATTCAATTTTATTTATATAGTGGGAAATCATGACAGCAGCTGCCTTGAGGAACTTTACATTATAAGGTAAAGACCCTACAATAATACAAAAAAAACAGAAAACTCCAACAGTCATGCGACCCCCTATGAGCAAGCCCTTTGGCGACAGTTGGAAGGAAAGCTCGCTTTTAAAAGGTAGAAACCTCCTCCAGGAGCAGGCTCATGATTATCAGATTTAACAGATTTCTTGAATAATCAAGATTGTAGGCCAGGATTTCAAATTGGATTAAATAGTATATGTGGTTAATTATAAATTATTGCTGCATTTTTGACAGATTATGCACTTCTGTCTACCCTTCTCTGAAATTAAAGTGCCTGGGAACACAGGAGGTCCATACACAGATGTTGTCATTATGCTTTTGTCATTTGCAATTTTTTAGTTGTCTGTACTACATAGTCAAAAAAAATAAAAAATTAGAAATTGATTAGATTTCAGTTTATTTGTCCGGTAGTTCAACAACACATATCATCCTTTCAGAAGTGGCGAGTTTTGCCAAAATAGCATTCAAATGAAATTGCTGTTCATCAACAGGACAGGTGGGTGCAAAGAATTT